AATAAAAATGACTTTAGACCAACCAAACAGACCCTAACAAGACAGAAAAATAATAAATAAGACATAAAATAAACTATTTCAACACTCCCCCTCAAGTTGGAGCATAGGTGTCAATCATGCCCAACTTGTCACACAAATCATTATGCCGAAAATGTTGAAGACCCTTGGTGAAGATGTTTGCAAGTTGTTCCTTTGAGTTGACATATGGAGTGCATACTTCTTCAGTCACAAGTTTTTCTCTAATAAAATGCTTATCCACTTCAATGTGTTTCGTCCTATCATGGATGACTGGATTAGCAACAATATTGATAGCAACTTTATTGTCACAATAGAGTGACATGGGGGTTGTTGACTACAAAGCTCAGTTCACTTAATAGGTTTCTTATCCACATGATTTCAGCAACTCTATGAGACATAGCCTTGTATTCTGCTTCAACACTGGATCTAGCCACCACACTTTTCTTCTTACTCTAAGTGACCAAATTGCCTCCTACAAAGGTACAATACCCACTGGTAGACTTTCGGTCATTGATTGCACTTGCCCAATCAGCATCAGTATATACTTTCACCTTTAAATGTCCATGTTTCTAGAACAAACCAGCTTCTGGAAATTTCTTGAAGTATCTAAGGATTCTCTCTTCAACTTCAAAGTGAGTTGTCTTAGGGTTGTGCATGAACTGACTAAGAACACCCACAACATAAGTAATATCAGGTCTGGTTATAGATAAATATACGAGTCTCTCTACAAGTCTCTAAAACTTCTTCACATCTTTCAAGAACTTTCCCTGATTGTCTCCCAGTTGATGGTTAGGTTCAATTGGCAAGTCAATTGGTTTCACCCTTAACTTGCTTGTATCTTTTAGAAGATCCAGAACATATTTCCTTTGGGAAATAAAGATGCCCTTTTGAGAGCGGGCAACTTCAATTCCAAAGAAATAACGTAAAGGTCCTAGATCTTTCACCTCAAATTGAGTGGCTAAGAATTTCTTCAGTTTCTGTATTTCGGTCTCTTAGTCTCCTGTGATCACTATGTCATCCACATACACAATAAAGCTGCAATTTTCCCTTCACCTTTCTTCACAAACAGTGTGGTCTGATTGGCATTGTTGGAACCCCATCTGTTGAACTGCTAAGTGGAACTTACTAAACCAGGCCCGAGGTGATTGTTTCAACCCATATAAAGACTTTTTTTTAACCTGCACACTTTTTGCTCACTGCCTTTGGCACAAAAACCTGGAGGTTGGGTCATGTACACTTCCTCTTCTAAGTCACCATTCAAGAAATCATTCTTAATGTCCAATTGGTGAAGTTCCCAGTCAAGATTTGCTGCAAATGAGAGAAGAATCTTGATAAAGTTCATCTTGGCTACTAGAGCAAATGTTTTTGCATAGTCCACTCCATATACCTGTGTAAAACCTTTTGCCACCAGTCTGGTATTGTACCTTTCAACAGTTCCATCAGCCTTGTGTTTCACTGTGAACACCCACTTGCATTTCATTGGTTCTTTCCCTTCAGGAAGATTCACCAACTGTCAAGTGCCATTTTTGTGTAATGCATCAATTTCTTCCTTCATTGCATATGTCCATTTAGGTTTGGATAGAGCTTCTGCCACATTCTTAGGAATAGGGGTACTGCCAACAGACGAGAGGAAAGCATAATATGAAGGTGAAATATGGTCATAGGGCACAAAGTGAAAGATAGAATGATTAGTTGTATAGGATTTAGCACCCTTTCTCTTAGCAATAGGAACATCAAGATCATTAATGATAGGGGAATCAACATTGAGAGGTTCAGGCGTATCAATAGGAGCAAGTGTACCTAGCTGATGAGAAGGATCTGCCTCCGGAGAATCCGATGATGCTGGTTGTATAGTGTCAGGTTCCACGGCTCTTGAGCTCTGCTGGCTTTTGTGGCGGCAAAGAAAGACATGGAATGGAGGAGGGTCAGGAAGAGGAGGCAGTTGAGTCTGAGCCTGGGTGTGTTTCTCCTTAACCCTACTCTCCCCTGAGGAGAAATCGAGAAGAAATGTTGATTCTCAAAGAAGGATACGTCTACGGAGACATAGTACTTGCGGGAGGTGAGATCATAACAATGATACCCCTTTTGATATAAAGGGTAACCAAGGAAAACACAAAGAATAGCACGAGGATCAAGTTTACCCTGAATAGGGGACAAGTTATGAACAAAGCAACGACACTCAAAAACATGCATTGGAATGTGGGATAACAGAGCTGAAGGAAACAAAAGCTGATGTGGGGCTTTATACTTTAGTAACCGAGATGGCATATGATTGATGATGTACGTGGCACACAGAATAACATCCATCTAAAGACGATTCAGAACATTCATATGGAGTAATAAGCCACGAGCTGCTTCGAGAAGATGACAGTTCTTCTTTTCAGCAACACCGTTTTGCTGGGGTGTCCTAGTACAAAAGTTTCTCTTTCCATTCTGTAGGCACTACAAACCAGTCCAGCTTCACAAGTGTTGCCTCCTCATGATTGTTTGTCCATGTATGTTTGGCTTTGCGCAAAAGGTGATCCTCTAAATTCATATGTTGTAAAGTTTTTTATACTTCTAAGAAAAAAAACCTGGAAAATTAGGAATATGATTCATTTTCCCATTGAATATCCTTTTCAAAGTCATTTGTTTTTCTTCATTTCATGTGCTACTGAACACAACCTTCATGTTATGTTTTCTTTTCAATGCCCTTGCAGTTTATTCCTAGGCCCATTAAACTTGCCAATTTCTGGCTGTTGTTTCAAGAATGTGTGAGGCGATGGAACCATGGATCCTCAAAGTTTTGAAAAGAGTGGCATTAGGTGGACTGCCAGGTCCATTAGCTACAAGATCACCCTATGGAAATAAAGTAGGCCAATTTGCTAGCTATATTGTGATACATCATCATAAAATATAAAAGGAAAAAAAGGAAAGGGGAAACCCTCAAAGCCTATGCTGTCACTTGGAGAGCTGTTGAAGYTGCCTTCTCCCCTTTTATGGTTTCTTCCTGTTTCTTTATTTTTCTTCGTTATGTTTGTATCCAAAAGGTTCAAATAAATCATC